ATATTATTTTATTGATAAAAATAACGGGTTTGAGAGATGAAAATGAAAAAGGGGCGCTTTAAAATGAACCTTGTCCCTGGGCGCAAATCTTGTCCCCGGGCGCCAAACACTCTCGCTGCGCCTCTGATATAGCCTAAATGTCTGGATTTTGCGTGAAATTTTCTTGTTAATGGGGTGGTTAATGGAAATGCTATATAACGTTACGAGGGATGGTTACAACATGTCATATTTTTCTATTATAAAAAGTGCACGCCCCTTGTTTTAAATTATCATTAAGATTGCAAGATACGTAACTTTCTAAACAGCCGTATTGCCCTCTGGGGCACGTTTAATTATTGACAGTGAGAAGCATATTTAAAGCTACTCACTTGAATCAGCCATCGTGTTTGCCACAAGAGCGCACATCATCGTCAGTCTGAGAACCACTAGAGTCAACATTGGTGCAATAGGTGACGCAGTGGCAGCTTTCATGGACATGTCTTCCAGGATCCAAGAGATGAGCACAAGAGAAGCAAGTGCCAATATCACCTATTGCATCGCCTTTTATTATAGGCTCGTGGTGTCAGCCAACCTCGCTCTTAGTCTCGCGGTCTGATAGGCTAACTGGTCAGCTTGACGCCAACGCCATCCACGCTGAAAAAAAATAAAAACTCGCTAGTGCTACACGTAGCTCAAAATTTCAAAGTTTAAAATTTGTGAACGGCGGTAGCAGCAAGATATCAGCGTGGTTGTTAGCAGGGAAGTAGCCGCGTGTTAACTGGGTGGTAGAAGTATGGTAGAATTGTGGTGGCGGCGTGGTTGAAGTGTGGTAACAGTGTGGCAGCCGTATTTTAGTATTATGGTAGCACTGGTGTAGCTAGATTTTGTGCTTCCTCTTAACAAACAAGCCAAAGAAACACATTCTGTCCCCAACCACTACCAACACATTATGTCCCCAACCACTGCCAACACATTCTGTCCCCAACCACTGCCAACACATTCTGTCCCCAACCACTGCCAACACATTCTGTCCCCAACCACTGCCAACACATTCTGTCCCCAACCACTGCCAACACATTCAGTCCCCAACCACTGCCAATACATTCTGTCCCCAACCACTGCCAACACATTCAGTCCCCAACCACCGCCAACCCATTCAGTCCCCCACCACTGCCAACACAACCAACACATTCTGTCCCCAACCACAGCCAACACATTCTGTCCCCAACCACTGCCAACACATTCAGTCCCCAACCACTGCCAATACATTCTGTCCCCAACCACTGCCAACACATTCAGTCCCCAACCACTGCCAACACATTCAGTCCCCAACCACTGCCAACACATTCAGTCCCCAACCACCGCCAATACATTCTGTCCCCAACCACTGCCAACACATTCTGTCCCCAACCACCGCCAACACATTCAGTCCCCAACCACTGCCAATACATTCTGTCCCCAACCACCGCCAACACATTCTGTCCCCAACCACTGCCAACACATTCAGTCCCCAACCACTGCCAACACATTCAGTCCCCAACCACTGCCAACACATTCAGTCCCCAACCACCGCCAACACATTCAGTCCCCAACCACCGCCAACACATTAAGTCCCCCAACCACTGCGGTACGCATCATTAAGAGGGGTGGGTTTGTTACTATAAAGTTTAAATTAATTGTAAATTAAGTCCGCCAAGAGTGTTGGTATCCCAAATCAAGGGTCTGAAAACACGCGGCCCGTGGGCCATTTGCGGACCGCAAAAGATATTTTGCGGCCCGCTACATGACTGCAAAGTTTAGTGTTAATGTGGACCGCGCGTTTTCCCCATTCTCATATCTATAATGCGACCGACCCTCCGCGACGGTTTCAGTCGAATCTCACCGACTATTCTAATTCTGATTGTGAGTATGTATGTATAAAGTTGTAAGTTGATTATAATGGTAAAAACCGTTGTAAAACATCAGACTAAAAGTTTTTATTTTATAGCATTTTATGAGACAAACATGGCCAAAGTGCGGTTTTGAGAAAAGTTTTTTTTAAAACTCAATTAGTTGGTAATGCACAACCATAATTGTGTAAATCGTAGCAACCTGAAACAGTATCAAAGAATCCCTAATAGAATTGCGGCTAGTGTTTACGAGTGAGGGAAACTCCGAGCCTGGTCACTTTCAAAATAAAGTTAGTCAAAAAGGCTTTTTTTTTTTTACGATTAATAAAATCAAAATTCATTCTCCCAAATGGCATCTTCCTTCGCATCAACAATTCATAAATATCGCCTGCCTACTGTGTGAACACGTCTTAGCATTCAAAGCCTTCATGGAGAAGGATGGGGCTGTTGTTCCTGTACTAAGGGATCCCAAATGGCTCATGGACTTGTCTTTTCTTGTTGACACTGCACATGAGCTGAATGCACTCAACAAGAAATTACTAGACCAGAGGCAGCTTGTCATTGTTGCCTATGACAATGTCAGGGCATTCTGCACAAAACGTGTGACATGGTTCTTAGAGAAACCTCTACCATTTCCCAACATGCAAAGTACTCGTGGACTCAGGCACACCCTTCATTAGTAAGTACTAGATGGAGCCCGCCAAGCATTGGCGACAGCAATGCGTGAACTTCCCATCTACTAAAGTTACTTGACAAAAACGTGAACTCAAGTTACGCACATTTAAGAATGCCAATTTTGCTACACCTCTTCCTTCCCCCTCCCCACCTTTTTCATGATACGTCACTGCACACTTTTTATTTCACGCCCATGAACTCTATAAATATAGCCGACCCGCCGCTTAGCAGACGCCGCGAGTTTGTTTGTCTTGAGACCAAAGCAAAGCTACAGGAATAATTTGATCACATGTTTTTAGACTTCAAGACAGAGTGACTTCCATTTTTTGCTGACCATTTCTCCTTCAATTTGGAAGATGCACCCCCACCTCCTAATTGCGCTTCAAATGGAGTTGAAGATCTTCAGTTTAATTCTAAGTTCAGGGAGGTGAATGGAAAAACAGACAAGCTTATAAATAATTTATGAGAGCATTACCCTCCACCTTCCTTGAGATTCCCAGTTTGTTCAGGTGGATCATGTCTTTTTTGGGGAGTACCTATCTGTGTGAAAAGCTCTTTTCCACTATGAACTTTATCAAGTCAAAGTTCATGGTTAAGCTTACTAATGAGCATCTTCAAGCTTTACTGAAGGTCTCAGTTGCTTCCTCACTCAAGCCAAATGTTGCTCAGATGTGTAACAAGAAGCGTTGCCAGGTCTCTAGCAACAAAGAGTAGGAGGAAGAAAGTGAAGCCTAGTTCTTGAGAACCCTTCATGTTTTTATTGGTTATTAATAAAGGTTCAGCAAAATGTAACAGTTGTACTTTATTGACCTAGTAATCGCTTTTTTGTGTGTGTGGATTACTTGATGCGGCCTTGTCTCACTCAGACTCTACCTCCTTCCCCACCCCCCCCCCCACAGATGATTTGAGTTTGAGACCCCTGTCCTAAATTATATTTTTCACTTCCTCCTCCACAAGACTCGACCGTCCCCCCCCCACCCGCCAGCCTTTTCATAAGGTAGGTAGCATCCATTCTTGTCAACAGTTTTTAATACAGTTTTGAAACCCCCCGCCCCCCCCCCGTCCCCACTCCCACACCCCTTATCAACAACTTTCAATAAAGTATGTCAAACTTTTAACACCCTCTTTCTCTTAACAAAAATGTAAAGAAAGAAAGAACAAAATTTTAAAAAATAACTTACAAAAAAAAAAAAA